ACACACACACACATATATATATATATATATAATATAATATATATATATATATATATATATATATATATATATAACATAACATACACACACACACACACACACACACACACATATATATATATATATATATATATGCAAAAATAATAATTGCTCGTCGTGCAGCGACCACTATGAACGCGGCAGTCTAGCTCTTACCTGTGCATGTGGTCGGAGATGCTTTCTGGTAGTGTCACGTTGTTGTTCACCCAGCCAGTACGTTTTGTTCTCTTCAGCTCGCCACAGAGAAGTACAAAGTCCAGAACGCCTCCTGCTCTAGCTCCTGTCATATTTCAATTCTATTGAGATACCGATAAAAGCTATGAATGTATGTATCTGCAAGTCTACAAATGCACTACACTCGGTGTTGAATACACCTCTTTTATAAAAATTATCAGTGAACATCATGTTGAAAACCGTGACACTCCCAGAGATATTTTTTTTATTTGTCAGTCGTATGTATTTGTAAAAAAAAAAGCCCATAATACATACGGCCTATAGAAGGTAAAGCTTGATTTATATATGTACACATACTCGCCCGTGAGGGTTTTGTTTCCGACATCGTATGTGTTGATATACTTTACAGAATTTTGTATAAAAACCCTACTCTAAACACGCACGCGTGTCAATTCAATCATAGAACACTTGCATGCTTCACAATAGAGACTCAAACATATACGTATAAATTTTGTCCGCATCAATGTGATCATGTTCTTTGTACTCGTGTAGTACCAGACCGAGTTTGGCTAGGGAAAAATGTGAGGAATATTTTATTTGTAATTCATTTATAGCACTATAAATGCATATAAACTACGCGTTCTTTGCAGCTATAATACCATTCTCTACAACAAGCGCGTACGATGTATCGCGTTTGGGTACGAATGGAATGTAATACTGGGCTGTCTCCACTCCGTCCTTGTATACGGAACGACATAGATTGCCCGTTATCTTCTTGATATTATCAGCAACTGATGTGTCCTCAGCCACCACAGATGTCACCTATATGCATGTGCGCAACGGAATTGTTGGTTAGTACCTCTACTGGTCGAACCAGCTAGACACGAAGTAGAAGCGGGTATGAACGAGCACGATATGACCAGAAAGGCTAACTTACCTCTGCTGCAGCTTTGAGTACCGAGGAACGAAGTTCCTCGTCATTGAGAAGACTCTCAGTGAATTCCTTCATCACAACTTTCATCTCTTCACTCGAGAAAGTGTACAGCATACCCGCCTGAAGGCGAGGGAGAAAACAATGGCATTGTTACTTTAAATAACAATCCGTGCAGTCCAAACTGAAGAAATTAACCCGGTGCTTGGCGTACTTTATCTCATATAAATAACTATCTGTC